GAATACGCTATGAGAATAATTTTTTGATACCCAGGAAAACCTTCTGGACGCATTTGGGCTTTTTGTGCCAAAAAGCCTAAAATACAACTACTGTGTATATGAGATTGCAAGACAAAATGGAAAATTAGCGATGTTAATTTTTAGAGCTGATTTGATCGCTAATTATGAAACAATGGAAAAACCGATGGGTAGTTATAAAAGAAATCCAAAATATATTTATTATGTCGGAAGTTCAGAATATCAGGAGGCATGGTTGGATAAAGCCAACAATTATAGGAAAACTCATATAAATTTATTATTTGAAGATGTTAGTAGTAAAGTATTATCACAAGATGATGATCTTGGTGATAAATTAGTGAAAATGCAAGATGAGATGAAGTCGTTGAAAGGGTTATAGCTGAAATATCATTGTCCATTAAAAATTTAAATGAGAAATGAATACTTGTATTTTCATATAAATATAATAAATTTACATGACTTACAAATAGGGTTGGTTCAGTCTGGTACAGTCTTTCATCTTTCTTTGGACCGGACCGATCTAAGACCGGTTTCAGTCCTACAGTCCGAGATTTGTTTCTTTCAGACTGATTTATAAGACTGGTCCAAAGATCAGTTTAAAACATATTAGAAAAAATATTCACCTGATTTATACATATTTAATGATCAATTTAATAAATATGTATAAATTTAATAAATATAAAAGTATAATAATAATAATAATTGCATACAAAACGATAACTGCGCCTTCTTAATCTCGTTATTTTCCAAGGACTGGATCGATTCAACTATAATTTTGTAATATTTTATAAATAAAACAATTTATTTAGTATTTATTAATATTAATCCTTAATTTAAAATAATATATGCTATAAATAATAAAGATCCGGTCCTCAGAATATTATTAACCGGTAACCGGTCTATCTAAGACCAGTCTTACCAGGACTGATCCATCCCTACTAGGGTTTACGTTTGAAATACAAATTGCATTTCAAATATTTGAAATTTTTTTAAAAAATTTCAAACGAATATCAAAATGATTTGGATATCGAATTGATTTCAAATATCGAAAATCATCAAATCATTTCGGATAACCGAAATTGAATATATTTTTTTTTGCATTTTCTTTCAAATTTTTCGATTAAGCTTCAGTTTTATTTTTTTTTATACATTATTAATTATAATAACACTATTATTACCAAGATAGAAATTCTTTATAATTACCTATAAAAATCAAAATTAAATTATAATTCATAAACTAATAAAACAAATTATAATTTTAGACTAAGTATAAAATTAACAAATCTTTTTTTATCACATATTTCTTCAAATATATCAATTATAACAAATCTATTTAAAGTAAGAGTAAGTAAAATTATATATCCTTTTTCTTGTACAAATATCACTTATTTGCATACATGTATATTTTGAGAAGAATATCCATAAAGTCTTGATAAGCTCCTCTCATTCTTAGCATTCTCATTAATAAAGGTTAACTGATTTGACATATAATACTTATTAATAATATCTAAATAATATGCATAGATAGTTTTATTTATTTTTTGTATTTTTTCTATGACTTTTGTAAAAAAAAATTTAGAATTAATATTCTTAATTATTATTATTATTTATAAAATAAAATTCAATTTTTTCAATACTTTTTATATATAATTTCTAAATAATAAAGTAGTTTTCAAAGTATTATAATAGAAACATTTTTTCTTATAAATATTTTACCAGTTAACTTTATCTCTTATAAAATCTTGAAAAATATATATATTATTTTTATTAAAAAATTTTTTTCTTTTTAGAAATTCTTTTGAATAAGTTAGGTAATACACATCCATTTTTCATAATTATTTATAATTCTAATTACAGAAACTTGCTCATATATAATTTATTAACAATATCTATGATAAAGAAACTATTAATATATAAATATATAATTTTTATCATGAACCTTTATTAAATTATTTTAGTATAAGTTATTCTATTTATTAATAAATAAAATATTAGTTAAATAAATAGAATAGTTACAATAATTATAACACATAATATAAAAGTATTATAATACCTAAATAATATTATAGTAATCTAATAAGATAAAAGAAATAAATTTAATAAAATACAAATATGAGATCATTTTTATCAAGAAATAATATTTTATTAAAATTTCAATTAAATAAGCTCTATATTTATATTAATTGTAATATATAATATAAAATTAGTTTAGAATTTTTTGAAACTAAATGAAAATTGCTAATAATCTTCTAATAAATATAAAAAATATAAAATAATTCCTATTATAATTGCTACTTTATTATATTATAAAAAAGATTAATATTGTATAAATTTAACTAATTTAAAAAAGTGATAAGTTTGTTAAAGTATTAGTTTTAATTTATTTTAAATTTATTTAATTTAATATACTGATAAATTATTTCTAATTTATTTTAAATCTCATGTATAATATAAGTATTATTTTTGATTTACTTTAAGCCTTATTTAAAAAATATATTAATAAATTATTTTTAATATACTTTTAGGTTTATTTTTAATATAGGAAAATTTATATAAATAAGCTTAATTTTTTCACTTTTTAGAAATAATTTTAATTCAAATTTAGAACTTTGAATAGGTTAGTTCAGGTTAAATCAATCAAGTTACCTAAACTGAGAGAATTAGGTCAGACTAAACAAAAATCTAATCTGATTTAAATTTTTATTTGACCTGATCTAATCTAATTTAAAAAAAAGTTTTTTCTTGTTTAATGATAATAAAAAAGAATTATAACTGAATCATTTTAATTAAATGATAATAAATCATTTAAAATGAATAATAAAAAATCATTTAAATAAAATGATAAGAAATTTATTTAAAATAAATAATAAAAAGTGTTTAAATTGAATGATAAGAAATCATTCAATTAAATAATAAGAAATTATTTAGATTAAATAATAATAAATTATTTAGATTAAATGATAATAAATTATTCAAATCAAATGATAAAGAATCATTTAAATTGAATAATAAAAAATCATTTAAATTAAATGATAATAAATTATTTTAATTAAATAATAATAAATTATTCTAATTGATGATAATAAATCATTTAAGAAGAATGATTAAATAACCTGAATTTTACCAAATCAGTTCAGATCATTTAATATATTAATCTAATTTGACATTAATTTAAAAATCTACTAACATTACCTGAAATTTTAAATCAGACAGGTTAAATAAACAGGTTAATCTGTTTTAATTTAGAATTCTACTATTAGCACAAAAGACGATTTAAATTTTTAATAATAAAAAATTGCTATAAAATATCATAGTATAATTTTAGAATTATAAAATCTTTGGCTATGAATTATTAGCTTTTGTTAACCAATTGATAAACTAGTTACAATCTTTCATAAATCATGTCAGTCAAT